GTTGCACCGATGTCATAATTAATATTTGTAAAAGCAAATAATAATAAAAATAAAAACCAATTTAATCAAAATTTGTTTTGTGATCGTTGTGTTCGGCATTGACCATTGTTTGTCGGTCATATTCAAACAAAATATTACGTAAGGCTACAAGTGCGTATAAATGAAACAACTATTTATAGTAAAATTTAAATTATTTTACACGTAGGTACTTCATTCGACGGACCGTTTCGATTATTTTTAAGAAAAAAAAAATAATAAATAAATGTTCTCGTTAAAATTTAAAGTTTTTATGTAAATTTAATGTATTGCGACTTTTAACATCTATTAAGTCATAATAACATAAGTATATGTATATTACATAGTTATAAAGAAATTTATATTTTATCGCGACAGGCAAAAACGAAAAATGATAATAAAATCGTTTATATTTTCTCAAAATTGGAAAATTCTTTCATGGAAATATTCATAGATTAAGAGCGCATCTAACGTTAACATTTTTATCAATCTAAGTTGAATCTAAAAAGAAAAGCTAGAATTAACTATTGGTGACGTCATCTCAGACGAAAAATCTTTCTAAAATCATTAATAATTGGACAAAATTGAAAAATTCTTTCATAGCAATATTTATAGATTAAGAGTGATAAATTACAGTGATATCATTTCGTTTTCATCTGTTTTCGTAATTCTCAGTATTGGCGTTCTTTTTTTTATACAACCGTTCCGTGCATTTTATCTTTAAGCTACTTCTGCCTGTAATTGTTTCCAAGTTTCATCGCAGCGGATAAACCGAATTAAAGAATTGATTTACTTCGATAAAACTGCTGTTCGAGGACATCAGGTACGTCTTATCAATTTTAATCATCAAGCCTTATCATGACCATTTTTTCAACATACCAGTCAGGTGTTTTTCCTCAGTGACTTAAACTCTAAACATCATCAACGACGTCATAGACATCGAAAACTTTTACTAATAACGACATTTTGAAAGCCATCAATTTGCTTTCCTCATCTCAATCGTTGTGATTTCAGGAACTTCGAACAAGTATTTCTGGTTTAACTTCCCAAGTAACAGATTTTGCTACAGAGAACGCTGCTTTTCGGGCCAAAATTTTAGTTCTCCGTTCAAGAATTGATCTTTTCAAACACGGCCGGTCTATCCTAGTGATTTAGCTTCAGCTATTTTTCGTGAGTCTATTGAATGTTCAAAAATTGAATCTAATGCCATCGCCTACAGAGTGCCAGAGTCAGGTGCCAGCACTGCTGCCCTAAGATTCAATGACGACCTACTTGCCTTAAGCAACCATCTTAAAAATCTATCGATTCCTGTTCTTATTGAACCAAATCTAATATACCTCGTTAATAGTATTGTTAAAAAACCAAGCCCACTAAAAATGATCTGTCAATATCAGTGTGATCGTTACATTTGTATGGATTGCATATTATCGTAACAAGCTGATATACACATACACATTCAAATTTCGTCCTCTGAACCAATTACTGAAGAACCTACTGTTAAATGAAAATAATTAATAGGTATTCAAATTAAATCTTCTAGATTACTATGTATTGAAATGTTTTTTTTATATGCTCAAGCAGACGGCAAGAGTTTTTTTAAAACACATCTTCAGTGGTGTATTTTTATTTGTATTTACCGGTTTATAGGTTCCAATATAATTTTAGAACATCTTACAGCATTACTCCGTTCGTCTGTTTGTCCGTCAGTTATCAGCATATAGTTATAATTCGTTAGTAACTTTATGATATTTGTTGTTAATACTGACTTCAGTTTATTTAAAACTTAGGCGATAGGGTACCGAAGGTAAATGTACATGCATGTTAGTCGGTAATAAAAATTGTTAATATATAAGTACCTATCAATCCATTAAATATAAATTCGCATAATTTTACAATAAAGAAATAGGTACCAAAGTATAAATATTTTATTTAGAAATTAAGTTTTTTATGATTTATTTATAAATAGGATATCACACATAAGAGTATAAAAATTACCATATTCTTTTCAACTTGCACGTAGAATTAAATGTTCCATTTTACGTTTATTAGTCAGGAACTTGGCACGCACGCAGAGCGAGTAGGCTTTCCTAGCTTATTTTTCCCTATTATATTAATAGAAATAATATGTATTGTTTTTAGTGTTATGGGAGGTGGTAACCGAGACATCTTAACGTAATCCTTATAGGATTTTCCAGTCAGGTGGCACTAGTATTTCAGCAAATAATTTTGAGCGGATTACATCTACTGTTCATTATTCTTCACCGGTCTCCTATAACGCACCGAATACGTAACGCATACGGTAACTGCGGTACGTAATTATAATAAGTGACATTGTACCTATGTAGGATACGACTCAATGAACGCGTACGGCTATGAGATCAAAAGTAGAAAGCATGTCGAACCATATATATTTTGGACAAATCAATATACATAGAGGTTGCCACTGTAACGCTGTAGAAGCTCGTCGAATCATTTAAACATCACGCAAGGCATCAATATATTTTTCTTTCCTTGGTATTCGATTTCGTCAACGCATACCGTAGGCGCGAGTCCTTTAGTTTTCACTCCTGTCCCACACACACACTAGTCTTACGAATACTCTTATGGTAGAACGCGCTCGTATTCGGCACGGACGGCATTATTTTTCCCGACGTCGTCACGTAATGCGGTACTCGTGAGTCATCGCCGAGACAGGTGTCACAGCACCATAAATTATCAAATGCGGTACACGGAATCAGTCACGTTTGAATAATACGTGTGCACGGCGGAAGGACACGCCACGATTATTATCACCTTCACTGCTAACACAACCTCATACGTGTGAGTAAGCGTGGTTTGGTGGACGTCCTCTCGAGTAGGTTGTCTGAATATCGCAAGCTGCGAGTGATTCCGTTCGAGAGAAGAGACGAGAGCGAATAATAATTATACTGGGTTTCGGAGCTCGGGATTAAGATTTTTTCTTTTCATTTATTTTTATTTTTTCACTTAAAAATAGCTGTATACGCTCGCGATATATTACGCACTAAGAAAAAAAAAAACATGTTCTCGTACTTAAAATGGTGCGTCGCAGACTTCAACGCGGCACGTAGCAGGAAAAATACTCCCTAGAGAGGCCGATATGTTTTGGCTCATAAAACTTTTTTGGATTATTCATAGCTCGCATGCACGCGTGTTTCCCTACTCGATATTTACATTACAAATTACCACTGGTATATCGTTCGACTGTATAAACTAAAAAGTATGTTGTCTCTCTCTCTCTCTTAGCTTCGGAGTTCTCGCCCGCAGAATGAAAAAACAAAACTGTCAGTACATATTATAAATACACGTATATATTTTAATATTGTGTTTGATGTTTTTTCGTCCGCACCCAGATCTCAAGGCGTATCATTGCTGTGAAGTTATATAAAGGCGAAATACGTTATGTAGATCGAATAGTTAACGATAACCGTTATAACAACCCATGTCACTCAGCATGACGTTCTCAATCGTAGCTATCGTGGACTTATAATCTATAAATTTTAAAATACACAGGTCTTAAATATGAGTAATTAACAAAAGATTCACCGAAGAATTTACTAGAATATTGTACAGTCTATATGCCATTAAAAGTCCAATCATTACTTTTCCCAAACCTTTCGAAAATAAGCAAAATACATATAATAAAAAATTTTTTATTGAGAGATTAACTGATGCATATGGATAAAAATATTGAGTTTTATTTCAACACAACTACTAGTATAGTATATAGCAGCTTCTAAAATATGTACGTATTAAATCGAGAAAATGTAAGATAGGTGAGCGTTACGGGGAAAACATTTTTTGACCTAAAATAATTTTTCGAAATATTTTCAGTTAAATCGATAAAACTATTATAGATAAAATCCACAATTATTTTGGTAGTATATCAGTCATATGAAGTAAATAATAAGAATATTTTTCTTTTTCCTCTTTTTTTTTTTTTTTTTTTTGGTTCGGAATTCACAGCTTTCAATAAATCAGGAATACAATTTAAAATCAATTTTGATCTCCAATATTCATCAAGAATTGTGAAATAAAATCAGTGTTTGGAAAGAAAGTCGTTCTTGAACGCACGTTCACACGTCAACGTTCATATTTTGTGAACGACACGCAAACGTCACTCGCTTTTTCCAAATAAGACGTGAACGACATTTATATTTTGAACGATTTTTGGAGTATTCAAATTTATTTATCAGCTTAAAAATATATGTGTTAATAATAATATATTATTGTTATAATATGTTTCAGTATAGGTTTAAAGTATAGGTTACATAAAGTACTCGTAAAATATACCTAATACATTTTATAAAGATCCTATTTATACAAAATGCAAAATAAATTAAATTAAATGAGCAGCCAAATTAATGGTCAATTTCGTATAACTTGAACGTGAATGCGTTCAGTTTAAAAATAATGAACATGAACGTGAAATATACAGGAAAAAAAAGCTACAATAAAAATAAAAAATAATTTTTTCTTTTAAATACTACGAACTATTGCATTACTTTATTAGAGAGAAAAAATAAAGTTGATTCAAAGTTTTGTAATTTATGTTTGTTAAGTGCCCTCTTGAAATTAGTTTTCATTCAAACATTGTATGTTCAAAATTTAATTTGAAAAAAACTTTTACGCTGACATTATACTATTTTTATTAACTACTCACTGGTGATCAATTTTTAGGCAGTAACAACTATAATAATTCATCAAAATGTCCGTGCAGGTTAGAAATAAGTACTTAACTAGAAATAACTACTGCTGAAAGTACTTAAAAAAGCTTTAGTGTTCAGTTATTTACTTACTTGTGAGGAAAATATGCAAGACATTTTAAATTTAAGTTTTCTCTATTTCTTTTATGTCTATTTAAATATTACCATTTTATATAATAACTACACATATAGTATACCTCAATTGGTTTAATAACGATTAGCATTTGACGTTAACTAATAAAAATCGGTGGTCATAGAATATAGGTACCAAAATCGTAATATATTTGAGGTCAATACAATTTATAATAACGTTAAACTTTACAATTTAGTTAAAAATAATACAAAAACTACTTCTAATAAATATTTGTGGGCCGCGTGTGATGTGAGCGCGTAAGGTGCATAAATAATAATTTTACAAACTTAGTTGTGATCATAACGTACGATAACGTCCGACGGTGATTCAATTGATACTGTTAGGTATTGTAATCCTTCAACGTTATAATACATGTGTGGCGATGTGTAACGACCGTGAACGATTTGGGTTCTAAAGTTTTCAGATTCATTGTACGGTAAGAATGCGATAACGGTTCTGAGTCGTTGTTATGGGAAAGATTTAATAATAATATTGATAACGATGAATGTAAATGTTCTGCGGATAACGATTTTAGAACGTCCAACTATAGTTTTTTGTTTGCTAGTTTAAATTAAAATCTGTTCATAAATTGAACTTAATCCCTTTTAAAATAATATAGTGACTGGTTCAAAACAATAAGTGAAAACATAATGATCAAACACAAGCGTACGATCACATGATTTTAACCTTCAAACCTTGGATATACGGTACAGCTAGAGAATTTCCGAGTAGAAAATTGATTATAAACGGGTATCGAGTGTTAGTCGAGTAAAAATTCAGTTTTACGCAGGGTACCGGGTAAGGCCCAAATCTTAATTATTCCATCGAGTACCTGGATATCGAGTAATTTCCGAATACCCGAGACATTTCTAAGTACGACCATTATGATTAGTATTGAAAATGAAAATGATTTAATAAATTAGATATCTAGTTCTTTTATGTTTAGAACTTCTGTTGACGTTGTATAATTAACTGACAGTTCCCTATAGTTGTCTTGTGAACAAATAAAATGAAATAAAACATCGAATAAATTGGGCGCATGATTTTCTTTCCAATCGATGAGAGATTATCGATGGTGAAATATCTTTGTAGACAGGTTATCGATTTGATTTTTAGTCGAACATAGGAGACTGAAAACGAACGTGCGTGAAATGACAAATCTGAGGTCCGGAGATCCAAGATCACCGGTGGTTTTTGTGCGGCAGTATCCTGTGAAGTCATTTGTATTGTTGAACAATAAAAAGAACAATATTTGCAGATTTCGTTTTCTCGTCGCACAACTAAGATCCACGGTACCAAACGATTGGAATCGTCCAAAAAGTGACTAAACTAAAAAGAAAAAAAGATTTTTGGTTAGTATTTCATACGAAAAACCTCGTTACGTAAATATATAACATCGGACTATAGATTTATATTAGAATGGGCAAGTTATCTAATTTTTATTTAACTCGTCAAGTTTAACGAATTAATTAAATTAATTAAGTTCATTATAAAGTAAAACGACACTTCTCTTCTTCTTTTCTTAACTCGTAAAAATTACAAGTTTAATTGTAAAAAAGTAACAACGTGATATTTTATTAAAGCTACATTTATAAATGTGGGTCTTATTAAATTTTATGAAAAACAATAAATATTACAAAAAAATAATTTTTTTGATCACCGAAATTATAAAATTAGAAAAAATATTAACTTTACGAGTCTTTATGATTAGTGAAATGAAAAGCAGCTGTTCACGAGAAAAAGAATTATTTTAAGATTTTATAGTAACTAAAAAAGGAAAATATTAGATCGTCTAACGACAAGGTTAAAAGTAATAATGTCTTTTTAACTCATTAATAGCCAGCTTCTGCACGTTACAATCAGTGTAGATAATGAATACATACGTGCGAGAGATAATTTAGAGTAATTTTGAGTTTACATTAAATGCAATTTCTTACTTTCAACATATATCACGTAAGAATACGCAAGTTTACGTTTAGAAATTTTTTACTCTTGTATGCATTTAAATACTGTTAGTTGGTTTCAAAAGTGATCTGATCATGAGTAGAAGAGTATTGTTTTTTGTATTTTTTAACGAGGCATTTAATGGGTTCGACTAAAAAAAGGAATATTTATAATAAGCGATATGCTTCGCTAAGGAAACTATCAAAAAGAAAAAGGTGTGGAAAAATCAAAGTTTATGGGTTCAACAACGGACGAGTAGAAGAAATAGTGTTGGAGCGTCAAATGGTTTGTATTTCGATCTGAGAAATGAATGATCCGTTGTCGCGCGAAAACTTGTCGTGAACGGATAAACATGTTTTTTCGTTACCATACAAACTGGCGTACGGTTAACGAACCGCATTCGACTTCTGTCCAACGTGTCGGCGGGCTGCTCACGACGTGCGGTTCACGTTTGTTCGATTTCGTTATTGTACAAGAAAAAATACGCAGGCGATGGTACGATCCCGGCACAAACAGACCTAGGCAAAAATAGTACACTAGGCAAAATCAAATTTGCTGCCTCTTAAAAAAAAGTTGAGCTCTTATTTTAACTTAGCCCCACCTCTATTATTTATGTGACATATCTACAACATTTTTTTTTTTAAATTTTTTATCTTATGTACAAAATGATATGTAAAAAGATTATTTATATAATTATTACTCAAAACCTATCATTGTTGCGACCATCGAAAATCGGAAATAAAATAATATTATAACTTAAGACAATATTATTTTATTATACACCGATAGAATTGTTACTACTCTACTAAAGTGCCGCTCTAGGCAGGTGCCTAGTTCACCTATAGCTTGATCCTGGGCAGAAATTAATACTCACGTGGAAATATCGCCAGTCTGTGGTGCAGGAAACGCGGAACATTGGGACGGTGGTCCTGGCCGAAGAGAACGCCGAGCGACGGACGCGATCGAATCGTACCAACGTATAGTCGATCGTGCTCTCTCTCTCTCTCTCTCTCTCTCTCTCTCTCTTTCTCTTAATCTCTCTCGAATAACGAAGAAACAAGAATAAAAAATAAACAAAAAGTGCGCCGAAATCAATAGACAAGTGTGTGTAGCGGAGGCGAAGAAGTGTCTCGGCCAAGACCACGGGTGAGTTCTGAGCCTATCGGTTAGGTCCGACCAGTTCGATCGAAGTTCGGAAGTGACGGAATGAAAAGGTACTTAAAGGTGAAAAATAAAAGTGTTACAGTACCGCGTGTACCTTACGGGAACGCACTACTGGTAGCCGAGCAGAACAAGTTGATCGGAAGCGAAAACGGTTGACGGGAAATAATGGGTCGACTACGCGTGTACAGATAAAAACGCTCGTTGGCCGCTGTTTTTTACGTGTCGTGTGCATGCGGGACGGACGATGACGTATGAGACGTTGACGATAGGGGCTCGATTTTTTATTCTCGATCACCGGGAAATACTGTTTATGCCAAGGACATATGATATTATTGTTTTTGTACCATAATTGTCATTATCATCACTTATATTATTATTATTATTTACCTTGATTGTTTTAAATGGAATTTTCAGCGGGGAAATCCTTGACCAATTATTTTTTAGTAATAAAAAAAAAAAAAAAAATACAACCAAATACCAGTGGTGACTCGTGGTTTGGACGACAGGACGATTGCATCCCTTACTAAAATTAAATGATTTAATTAAATTTAATTAAATTTAATTCTACTTTAATCTTCTTAAAAAGAAATGTATCATTTAAAAACTCAAATTTCTAAATAATATAAAAGTTATGAATTATAATGCATTTGTCATGTGTGAACATTAAATTGGTTTCTTTTAGATACCAATAGCATATGGTGAGTACGCATGTACACAAGAGCAGTGTTTGGACGACCGGTAACGTCGTCCGTACGGTAAAATATTTATTTACAACTATATTGTGTAATTTATTTTTAAAATTAATAGCGTGATTGGTTGCTATTATTATTACTTTAATTTGTATTTTTTATAGTGCGACCCGCAACTAGTAAGATATATATATTGTTGTCATATACTCATACGTCTTGTAAGTATAAAATATATTGTTTATAATTTTAATTAGTTCAATATGTCGAATTCTGTTCATAATTTAATGAATATTAAATTTTCTTCATAATTGTTTGAAAAAATGAACCATTAAAATTATTGCAAGCCTTTACCAGAATTAAAAGGTTTAAACACTAAATATAAAAAAGAAAAAAGTGAATAACGAGTTGGTAGATAAAAATCGCTATGTTTTAGATAACGTTTTAAATTGTATTAAATATTATGGTATACACGAATTACCATTACGAGGTCGTCATGAAAAAACATCTTCGAAAAATCAGGGTTTTTTTCGTGGGATTTTCGATCTTTGTATTGATTAAGACTCTAGTTTGCTTAATAATTTTGAAAAATCTACTGTTTTTAGAGAAACTTTTTTAGAGAAAACTATTCAAAATAATTTGTTAGATTCTATTCTATCATTGTGTCGAAATAAAATAATAAATGAAATTCAAGTCAAAATTTATTTTCATAATTGTTGATGGAACCACTGATATTTCAAATATCTTTCAGTTAGTTCTTGTACTTAGATCCGAAGTACAAGGTCGAACTGTTGAGCGGTTTTGGGGTTTTGAAAATCCAAATGGACAAAATGCCAAAGCATTTTCACAAAATATTTTTGATTTAATTGATCCATTTCTAGAAAAATCACCTAATAAATTGATTGCTCAATCATACGATGGTGCATCGGTTATAAGTGGCCAAAAATCTAGTGTAATTGTGAATATAAAAGAAAAGTACCCATTTGCTCTTTTTATTTACTGATATGCTCACCAATTGAATCTCATAATGAAACAATCAATTTAAAAAAATAAGCAAGTTCGTACAATTGTTTATAAATTATATGAAATACCAGTTTTTTTTTCTCATTCACTACAGAGTGTATCAGTGTTAGATAAAGTAGTTGGTGTTCGTTTGCCAAGATCAGTCCATAATCGATGGAATTATAATGTAAGAACCATTAATACTGTTTTTGAACACAGAAAAGACTTGATAATTTGTGTGGAAAAAATAATTGAAACATTTTTACAAGCTAAAATAATTAATCAAGCTAATGGTCTTAAAAAGTTTCTAGAAGATACTACATACACAATACTATAATAATATACTATGATAATTTTATGAATATAATATTAAGCTTTGTAATCTTATATTTAAAGTCGCACCCCCACCCAAGCACCCACGAGCCACCGCTACTAAATACAATACTAAACGATATGCTTAACATGACGGCGTTGGATGTGTGAAATGTTCACGGATCAAAGCGGGATATAACAATCGTCGCAAGAGTTAAAATCACAAAGTCGTTTGTGTCCGGCGCACTTATCGTTTTAATCATCGTTTTCGCATTCGATCCACGATAGCACGTTGTTCATGAGATTCATATTCACTTTGAACTGTTTAAAAAAAAAGTAGTTTTCCTTTTGCGTAGACGTCAAAGAACACTACAACGTCTTTCGTTGCGATAAAACTCGTAAGTTTCTCGGTTTTTTCTCGGTTGGTTAATATTGATATGGTCGTAAAATATATGTAGATATAGTAGATATGTAATATAGTAGCATAATGGAATTATGGTAACCCTATGAATTTAATCAACGCGCGGCAACGTAACATACTTAATGTCATTACATTTATGTTTGCTATAGAAATTTGCGTTATCCTGTCCTTTGGCACGACGATTCGTTGTATCGCTTTTGAACACGATACTATACAAAATACAACTATAATTCGCCCGTTCTGATGACCTGAAAACAGTTAAAAAATGTATATCATCAATATTGTATTAAATATTTACCACCAGTGTCCGGTTATAAGACAAATAATAATCACCAACAACTGACCGGTTGATTTTCGTCATTGATTTTTTCGAGATTGTTGTGTTATTATTCACGATCATTGTTTTGTTTAAAACATTGGGCACGAGCGGGAATTTGTCTGTTTTATATGTAGTTAAAAGTCACACGGTCAAGTAAATTCACTCTTGGCGTGAAAACTGTGAGCGTAAACACGCAGGTATTTTACAATGGTTTCCGAAACAACTCCGGACATTTGCATGTTTCAAAAAAGTTGTAGTAAACATTACAACAATTGTATACTGTGTACACAATTATACTTGATTATGTTCTTAGTATTTTTGCTGTTCGTTCGTTTCTTGTTGTTACTTTTTTTTTTTTCGTTAAACTAGAGATATTCAAAAAATACTCGTGAAAACTGAAGTGTTAAAAAAAGTTTTTAGTAGGTTAGTTTGCTCAGATTTTTATAATTAAATAATATTTTCATCGGAACGCTGAAGAACGATACTTGTTTGGTATTGCATTTGATTAAAAACCAATATGAGATTCCAAATAAAATACGTGGTAGGATATCTTAATAGTAATACATATTTATAATTGACTGTTATTTATTAAAAATCATATTTCGTTAATCTAAATAATAATTTTTACCGAGCTGCATGGATATCTACCGATTGACGTATACTTGAAGCATTCAAATACATTTTTCCTAATTTACTATTTATTTTTTAAATGGGTATCGGTTTCAATTAATTTTATAATTGAAATTATTCTTTATTTATGAACATTTATTTCTGTGTTCTCCTCTTAAAAAAAAAAAAAAATAATAATAATAATAATAATAAATAAATAAATAAATAAATGGAACTTTTACTACGAATTAATGTTGAATAGTTGATTTTTCCACGTGATATAAAAATGATAAAACGATTATTTTGTTTATAGATCCATGGTCACGATCACGTATCATGTATCCGTACCGTCGTAGCTCCATGGAATATTACACCCAAGGTAAACTTTTGAGTATTATGTCCTCCAAATATTCTTCTTTTTTTTTTTTTTTTTGACTACTATGCAGATTTGCTCTTAAATTTTTGGGTGTTGTACACTTAGGATTTATTACTCATTAGTAAATATTTTCACATCGAATTCACGATGACTAAATTAAAATTAAAGCTTAAATTAACCGTATCGACGGGGTGACGGCGAGTAATTCCAGTGTAAACTTTCACGGGGCGATGAGAGATTGCGCCTAGCAGTGACGTTGTACGTCCGGACGACAACGATCGCACGTAAAACGTTTCAGTCGGTACAATATTATATTTACTGTATACATGGGATTTATCGCAAAGTTCAAATATTTACGCCGTGCCGGAAAACTTCTTAATCATGTTCAAGCACAAACTTGGACTGAAACAAACAGTGTCAATAACTCACTGCGCCATGAATAATGTAATATTTAACGTACTAAACACACGTAACCGATATCCACTGACTGCAGAATACCGAGGACGGACCGGCGTCGTATACATACGGCACGCTTTAGGTCAACGCTGCAGTCAATCATGGTAAACAGAAATTTCCTTTGAAGTCGTTCAACATTTCAGACCGAACATCCATAACGCCTATGACGCACAGTTGTCTGAAACGTTATTTTAGGCGCTCAAAAGTCCTATTCCAAATTTATCAAAAAAAATTAAAAAAAATGTTAAAACCTTATTATCATATGTTCCTTAGT